AATTGTAAATGAACTGCAGTTTATTGTTCAGGGCTTCCTCAGGCAGGGACTCAGGCCAAAGAGAGTGTGTGTTCATGTACATTTATACACTGTATGAATGTGTGTGTGGAAAACGCAGATTAGATTCTGTGACGTTATCCTGGACATGGAAATAAAGAAACAGCATTGTTCTTGCACGGCTAAGAATATAACCCTGATGCTGCTGAGCTTAATTACTTACACACACACGTGTATTATCCAACAGTCTTTCATTTTTACAAAAGAAGAGGCATTTACGATCTGGACTAACATTAACTCATGAGTTAATGAGGAAATGTAATGGCCAATTTAAGAGCAGAAGCGTTTCATTGATTTCAAGTGGAATCCAACCGAATCCAACCTGGTGGCAGGCATTAAGATGAATAACAATTAAGAAATATCTTCTATACTCTTCCTCATTTATTTAGGTCACACAGAGGCATCACTATTAAACTGAGACTGTTTTATACCCAGTTAAAAACTCCTAGTACTACACAGTGAATGTGCAACTTGTGAACAGGGCTTTTTTTTTTTTATATCCTGAAACTAATGTAGTTAGTTTATGATGTGCTCCTTGTAATTAATGCTGAGTTCTACTGAAGGTATATAAGCTAGTTAGCCAGGTGATGCTAATGATTGCATCTAACATTAGAACAGGGGCAGATCTAGAGGGATGGCAGCTGCCAACCCTTTAAAAAAAGCCTTGCCAAAAAACAGAAATGAACACCTATAATTTAATGACCTATTATAGCCACATTTTAGACACAAGAAAATGAAAGACGAGATAGACTTAAGTTCAAATAGACATTCAGAAATAAAATAATGTATTGATTTTTAGTTATCTTTAGACATTTCTTTACTAATGTTCTTTACTAAGAGACCTTTTTCAAAGCATCCATTTTGACATGAAATACTAGGGTAAACACAGGTGTTACAGATGATACCAGTTAAGGCTCTGTTGCATTTACTTTGACCTGAATGGAACGGAGCCTTAATTAGTATCATTGGTAACAATAAGACATTCGCTTTGACCACACCAATGGGCCACATATCTGCATATCCTTGTTCTCTTATGGGTGATGGTATTTTTATGAGCTTCTAGCAACAGGCAAGAAGCTTTGGGTGGCAAGCTTACATTAGCAAGATTAGTTGTAGTTGTAGAGTTAGAGTCTTTGGTGTCACGACTGTCCGCTCAGGACGGCTTTGCTTCATGCTTTGCTCACTAGTGTCCTCCATTTTCATAGTAAACAACACAACATTACTAGCTTAGTTTACAAGTAGTTAAATAAGAGTCAATAGGACATGCCATGGATCAAGATGATAGTGGAGTGCCCTCTATTGGGTCACTACATGGAAACTGCTTCAGATGGTCTGTTGCACTTATAGACCGTACATTTTGAAAAATTTGAAAGGCTTAAAGAAAAGACACCAGCCTGCAAAATCTTTAAAAGCGGAGTATTGCTGTTACTGCAGCCCTATGCACACACCACTTCATCATGTGGAAGTATCCAAGCTTTGACACATATCATAACAATTCTTGTATGCAGACATACACATGTGTATCATGTGCATGGCCAGATGTGCCTGCCATTATGTGACGGTGATGGAGAACAGAATGAAGCCGCCATATGTTTTCCAGATTGCTGAGACAGATGTCTGTAAAAGTACGAAAACAGTAGCTTGTAATTAATAAGCTAATATATTGCACACTGTTTATTGTTAAAAATGTGAATTTTCTCATTAGTGTGTTTGATAGACAACAAGTTGATCATTAATGTTAATTATTAGAGTAGCATGAACATGAAATAACAATTGTTCTAATCCACTGGGATGAATTTATTTAAATGAATGTATCCATGACAAGATGTCTTCAGTCGTGATAAAGCTGGAGGTGGTCTTTATGTGGGTCAGTGTGAGGAGGGCAGAGGAAAAGACTTAATAAGTCGTATTTACTCTAATTCAGCTTGTATCCAGTTCAGCTTTAAAGTCCCCCTCCACTCCTTAATCAGAGTTTGACACAAGAAGGATGTTTTCACATTCATCTGCTGAAAGTGGAAAGTTTCTCTGTGCTCATTGAAAATGTGATTTTAAGGGGCAGGGCCTACCAGCATGATTTGTGACATCACACATAGTCTTGAAGTCAGTCCTGGTCCTGTATGCAACTTGTACAATGTGATGTAGAAACTTGAAGCCACCAGTGCACATCCACTAAGAAACTTTACAGTGAAGTAGGAGACATCATGGTTCAGCTCCCTGATTCACTTCTATATCATTTTATTGTTTGATTTTATTTTGCCTCATTGCCCCATGAAATGTTTTATATCCTGGCAGCCATGTAATTGTTTTGAGAGCTGTATAAATAAAGTTTATTATTATTATGATGATGATGATGATGATGATTATTATTATTATTATTATTATTATTATTATTATTATTATTATTATCTTGTGTAACAAAGTTCATAGATTGGATTTTTTTAATGAGGTAGAAGGAGTAGATGCTTTTTTAAGGGTTTTCATGTGGAAATTATACTTTTATTGTGGAAAAAACTTATCAGACACACATTATTGTTCCAAGCAGGTTATTTGTACATATATCTGGAGGGGTTCTTTAAATGACAAATATAAATCATAAAAAGTCAACATTAATTGTTGGAACAGGATGCAAACTCCAGTATCAGTAAGACATATTACACACCAACACATCTGCAACCTTACTTTTTGATATGCATGACATAACTTGAACTTTGGCATTTCAAATAAATACGATACGATCGTAATTTCTAGCATTATTAGACTGCCTGTTCACTCAGGTCCGACAAGGTTCCTTGGCGGATAAGTTGAACTTCTATGACTTATTATTATAAAATGGAATTTATGATAATATACAACATCAAAATATAATTTGCCATGCCCATCTTTCTAATTACCTCCCAGTCAAACATTATTCGTCACATACATTTTCAGTGTAACAGTCACAGAAATGTATCAAGCTGGCTTGCTCGCCAGCATCTCGCTAGCTAGTGCTAACTCATGTAGAGTAAGTGTATATATTTAGAAGTAGTAGTGTTAGTAGGTTTTTAAAACCATCTTGCAATAAGGGGCCCCAGCCATAAGCCAATATTATCTTCGGGGTCTTGGCATGAAAAGTTTGGGAAGAGTAACAGCTGTAAATTACATCCACTGTTGTCTTTCAGTGGAACAAATGTTTTTTAACTTTTCTGTCACTTAATTTGCAAGACTGTAACGGTGGACCTTTTCTCATGATTCATGTCAACACATTCAGATACTGGCTGACACAGAATGGAAAGTTAAATTAGGTGAATGCGGAATAAGCCAAATCAGGTTTAATTGAGGGGAAAGACAACAGAGACGCCCGTGCCGCTAGATTCGAAGGCTCTAATTCCTCACACACATCTATAATTGACTGGCACACTTATTTTCTAAGTCCATCGAAATGACCACTGGGCTTTTATCTCCAACTGTCTCTATGGTTACAGACTATGATTTTGTGGATGAGTGTGTGTATATGTGTGTGTTTGGGGTGGGGGGAGGTAGCTCCTAATTGACTGGCTGTTAAAGCTTTTAATGAAGAGCGAGCAGCCAGCTCTCCAATTAGCTGTGAGGGGGCCATCAGGGGATGAAAAAAGGACAGCAGCTCAGGAGAAAGTGGAGGAGAGGGGGGAGGAAGAAAATGGAAGGAGGAGAGGAAGAAGGATCATAGGGTGCAAGAGTTGGATGAAAGAGAGGTGTTTGACTAAATTGGCATGAATGAGAAGAAACAACATGTTTTCTCAGTGTTCTTTAGACTCATGTCACAGATTTTTAGTCGTACCAACACACATGAATAAGCAACTGTCATCAGCAAAGACAGTGAGGGACAAATACATTTTCCAGTTCCTTGCTGCACATTTCTATATAATAAATGGTTAAAGGTGCAATGTGAATCGTTTTACACTGTTTAGACATTAAAGGTGCCCTGTGGAGTTTTCTTGTAACCAAAACAAATGTTTACATTCAGTGCACAAAAAACACAAAAACATCCAGTAGTTTTAGTTCGTGATTTTTATGTAAAAAAATCCTACTACATTTTTTGTGTTCTGAAATGGTAGATTTGATCTTCCTCCTCATTGGAGGTCTTTCTTTCTAAAAAGTAAACATTTTCTGTCAAAGTGAAATATTGCCTTAAAACCAAAGCTAATTACGACGAGCCCTCTGTGGCTAGGTATCAAAAAAATCACACTGGAATAAGAGCCAATTAAGAGAGAGCACCTCAAAGGAGTTGGCTTCCCAACCATCCATTTCTTTACCGTCTTTGAACAGAGGGAGTTCCTTCCAATAAACAGATATAATTGCCTGTTTATCAGTCTCTTTGGACCTCCCACTTTACATGAAATATTCGTGATGAAACAGTGGAAATGTAAAGAGAGAAAGATGAGGAAGAACAGGCAGATATTGTGTATAATTACATGGTATAAATCTTCATGTACTGTGCAGTACCTTTCCTGGGTATTGTGTTTATCAACCATAGACCAGTCAGGAATATCTGTGGCACCACCACTTTTCCGAAAGCTACTACCTATTATGTAACTGATTTGACTAACATCATGTGATAGCTAAAAATTTATTTCAGAATGAGAAAGATTGAAGTTGTGAAGAAAAATGCAAGATATCCAGTTATACATGAAACAAGACCAAGACTGTCCTGGTGCTAACTTCAGAAATAGACTGATAGTATATTCATGCACGAGGTTTAAAGGATGTAAATATTGCAAGAGGGATGACGTTACAAACCAAACTGTGGTTAAGTTTGGGAAATGTGATTTCAGTATATATAAAACATATTTCAATAAATGTAATCCAGCTGCATCAGATCCAGCCACAACACAAAACCAAGTAAATGTAAGTTATTGTGTTCATACTCCAATACTCCATCCAATGTATTTAGAATGTGTGTGTGTGTTTCTGTGTGTGTGTTGCAGGTACAGTCGAGGTGAGGAAAGAAGGTCTGGAGGCTCAGATCAACCGCCTTGCTGAACTAATTGGACGACTGGAGAATAAGGTAAGGAATACTGTAAAGACGCATCATTCTCTCCTCATTTAGGAAGATACTGCATTGACTTACATTAAGACTGACATTCTCTCACCCTAACCATAACAACTACATACCTAACGCCAACCTTCATCGAGGCATAACTCTTAAAGGACATAAGGCTGGCAATATTTCATATTTTCTTATTGTCAATGAATCCCATGAAAGAAATGAATAACAACTATCTGGTTATCATGGCACCTGTTAGTGGGTGGGATACATTCTCTGTCTTGCAAGTAGACTGTTATTTTATTTTATTAAACTTTATGATATAAATATTTCATTTTTGAGTGCAGCCTGCCACACGCAAATTCAGGTACACAGAGGAGCTAACATTATTAAAGTAGATCAAATACACTTATTTTTTACCATCATATTGAAAATAAGTATATATTAAAGAATGTAACCCTATGGATGAGTTTTTTTTTTTTTTTTTTTAAGATTGTTGAAAGTGATTACAGCAAGAATTTTAAGTAGAACTAACTCAATTTTGTAAGTTAAAAAACCTTCTTGATCAAGTAGCTTTAGTACTTTTTTTTTATAAGTTATTTTTTTTTAGCCTTTTATTGACTTTATTGGACAGAGACAGCTGTAGATGGACAGGAAGGGTGGTTAGAGAGGGAGGGGATGACACACAGCAGAGGGCTGCAGGTCGGACTCGAGCCCGGGCTGCTGCAGCAACTCTGTACATGGGTCGCCAGCTCTACCGACTGAGCTAACCGGGTGCCCAGCTTTAGTACTTTTAAGTGACACTGACTTAATTTTGTAATTTTTATTTGTACTGTGAAACTTAATCAGGAATGTTTCTGTAACTTACAAAATTGAGTTTGTGTGACTTAAATTTTTCGATGTAATCCATTTCAACAAAAACATATCGCATTACAGTGTGCAGTATGTATAAAAGGAATGGATAAATTACAAATGTTATAATAAAAACTGGGCTCAGACTTCAAACATATAGCCTGGTGGACTGTTGGTTTCTCCTTTTATTCTTAGCTCTACTCATCCTTTAGACTGCTAGAACTCCTATATTTCCTACAAACAGCACAAGCCAGTGATCTTGTCCTCACGCTAAACTTTTTTTTACCAAGCTGTCAGCATGTGGATGATTTGTACATTGGAGATGTTTCATCAGCCAAATTAGGCAATGCCAAAGCAGTACAGTGAAGTCTGCAGAGGACATGAGAAAGGAAGAATGGAGAAGAAGGACAACGCAGGTTGAGGTTGATGAGGAGGCGAAAGAGGGGGTCGGATAAGGAGTTAATTAACACCAAGTGTTGGGGGAGGAAAGGATGGAAGGAGGAGACCGAGGAGGCAGTTAAAGAGTCCAAACTACTGCAATGTGTCTTCTTCCAAACTTCCTCCTCTTCCTCTAGTCCTCCTCCCTCCCTTTCTCCATCTTTACATTAATCATTCCTCCCTTACTCCTCTCGTCCTCCTCTCCTCCTGAGGGGGGGGTTATATGATAGAATACCTGTTTGTGTTAACAAACCTTTGTCTCCACCCATGGTCCCTGTGTTATAACCGACCTTTAGCCTCTGACCCTTAGGTGCTAATTTAATACACTCTTAACAAATTGCCCAGTTTAAAGTAGAATTGTTTCACTCAGTCGAGTGACCCCCATTAGCAGAAATGATTGAAACGCCTTCAACTAGATAATTGTTCAATCACCCATGACCCCGAAGCCCTTCTGAGAGCCCATTACTCTATGCCGAGGCTGACTTGTTTACAGTGACTGTGGCACATCTTCTCACAGGTGACTAAACACAGTTGAGTCTGATTTTTACCTGTTTCGACAGCAATGAAAACTCCTTAGGAATGATTTATTCATGGGTTCTTTTACTGCTTATAAATGTAGCCAGCAAATAATTGCAGCTTGAAATTTTGCGAAAAGAAGAGATGACAGAGTGGCTTTATTTTTTCCGTTCTTTTTCCTTCTAATCTACAAGCTAAATCCAGAGTAACGACCTCTAGTCAAGTCAGCTCACAGCGCCCCAGTCACCAACCTGTGAAAATGAATAAGAATAAAATGAAATGAAGCTTTAGATTACAGCCCACAAATTACAGTGTAATTATTTGGTACCAGTAAGATACTTACATATAGTACAATGTAAGGTACACGAGACAAGGCAATGAAATGACTGAGTAGCTATGTAATTGTAATAATTCATTACAGTAGCTTTGTTATCAGGTAACAAGACAGGAAAAATGTGGAAAACTGGGTAAGAGTTCAAAATTTTCCATGAAATGACTTATTGTGACTCGTGTCATTTACAAAAAAAAAAACTTTTGAGAATTCCCCTTATAAAACATTTTTATAATATGGAGACTACTTATTGTTGTTGATGGGGAACAAAACATTAGGCTAAGCACAGAATGAAGGGTGTACCTTTGTAGCTGTAAAGTACTTAGTGTATGTTTTAGAAGCTGTGGACAAAGTTGAATGAAATGGAAAGACTAAAATGTTAATTAAATGGTTCATTTAGAAACACATGACAACATTGATGGACTGTAGACTGAACCCCGTATTGCTGCTGTGTGTGGGGGGAAAACATCAAGTTGCTTTGGACCAGAGCATTTCCCAAACAACCCGATCTTACTCCAAAGTCATCAAATACTGCAGCTTGCTCACTGTGGCCCTCCGCTTCCAAATATCACACTTTAAGCAGTGGGTGATTTGAGGGGGGATAAGAGGGGCGCTGTCCGTGGTGCTGAAGACAGATTTGGAATTGCACCTTTTTCTCTCTATCACAAGGGTGTTCCCATTTGGCCATCACCCCTGTTAAAAGTGTACAAGTCGCCTACTGGCTGCAGGTATCTCTCTTCGGGTATTTCCGGACGCACTCACCGTCAAGGTCAGAAAAGGGATGAGATTAATTCCTGGAGGTTTTCTGTTTAACCTTGCAGTCTATAGTCTAACACTAACAGATGTGCTGTCTTTTTTTTCCTGGGAAATTATTTCTGATCTGTAAACCAGGTAGGTATTAAAAGAGGTGATAGGAGAAGTCATGGTCAGATGAGTCAGACTGTATTTTATATGAGTTATATATATTATATTTGTTTGTTTAATCTGTATAAAAACAAGTTTTATGAGGGGTTATGTGCTGGACAATTTCTTGGCTAAGACCACTTCCTGGAGTCTCTCCTGTAAGTCTGGCAACCTCACATGATAACAAGATAATAATAATGTGTTAATTAATGGACTTTTTCTTTGTACAAAGTCAGGCAAGCTGTTCCCCCTGTTTCTAGTCTTTATGCTAAGCTAAACTAAGTGGCTCCAGGCTGTATTATATATATTTTTATTTAAAGCCTTTACAAGGAACTTCATTTTGGGTTGGTTCTGGTGGTTCCTATGGGAAAAAATGTGGTGTTTCTACCACTTCATTTGATTTCGAGGGGAATCCAACTTGTGGCAAGCATTAAAGCTGCAGCAGGTAATTTTCCTAAAAAAACATTTTTTGTCATATTTTCTGAAACTTTCACTATATCCTGACTGTAGTACATGAAACAGATAATATGTGAAAAAATCTGGTTCCTCTGGCTCCTCCTAGCTAATCTTATTTACAAAAACCCACCGGGCCTGAAAAAAAACAACCAATCAGAGCAGAGAAAGATACACTTGGGTGTCAACTGGGTTGGAGGCTTGAAAATGCTCTGTTGAGTCCCAAAGCGTCTGTATTTGATGCCCTGGGAATGAGACTCAGCAATCAACTTGCTTTCTTGGCTCTGATTGGCTCTGATTGTTTCGCAGATTATCTGTTTCATGTACTAGTGTATATATTCAGTGTCGATTAAAAGCATTTTAAAGATTTCATATAATGACCAGAATAAAACAAAATAATGTAACACATTACATTATTCTATCCTACTTTTATTTTGAGGTCTTGTAAGGTTGCTGCATTTTCATATGATTTTCCACAATGATGAAAGATTTTCGTTGAGAAAAGAAGAAATTACCCTTCCAGTTGCAGCAGAGAATAGCAAAACACTGTACACAGGAAAAAGAAATAGGTCACCAAACTTTTATGTTGGAAATTGTGTTTTTAGAATAATCGGAGCTGAAGGAAAGCAAAAGAATAGACATTTTCTGCCGGATTACATTTTCAGAAGAGCAGGCAGTGTTCTGCAGTGAAGCATGGCTTTGAGGAGGAACACTAAATGTGGCATTGTCTTTGTGTCTCTGTTTGGCCTGGTATTACCTGCATGAATCTCAGTGTTGAGGCTGTGCAGGAGTCTGGAAGAGGAAATGATATTATCACAGTGCGTCAGAGTGAATCATGAATTGTTTACTGAATGAATAATAAGCCAGCTACACACTGAGTGATGTGGTTCCTGGTGAGATGAAAATAGTGCCCTGCGTTGGCACCGCTGCTCTGTGATAACACACTGGAAATCCTGTTACCTGTGAACCCTCCTCAAAGTGGCAAATTGACGGTGCCTCTGTTGCTCAGTCACACTTTCTGATTCCCCCGCCGTCGTCCTCCACGCTCCCGTGGACGCTTGTTTGTTCTTTTGGTTACAAAATATTAGTATTTATGGCTGTCTGTCTGCCGCAGAAAAAAAAGAAGTGTTTCTAACCTGGAAAAGTCGGCCTCAGGATGATAGCCATTGAATATAGCTGGACTGCTGGTACTGATACTGACAAGCAATTCCTTTATTCCTGATAATGAACACCTCGTCGGGAATTATCCCCTACTTAAACCATTACACTTGTGTTTGACAAAACAGAATGTTCACCTTAAGAAAAGTCTCCTGTGTAAACAACTTCATAAAGAAAATAGCAGACTATGAGTCTTCACCTCTCTGGTCTTTTATGTGCAACAACCAACCAACACACAGCACCTTCCATTTCAGTCCAGCTGTGACCAGACTGTGGCACATTAAGCTCAAATCATTCATCCTAAAACTCAGTATGTTTCCAGCAGCTTTTACAGTATGAGTGTGTATGTGTGTGTGTGTGTGTGTGTGTGTGTGTGTGTGTCTCACCTGCCCACTGTGCCAGACCCTATTGCCTTGACTTTCCCTGCTGCGTTTGGTAAAAATCTCAGTTACCCTGCAAGTCAGACATTATTCATTCACAGTTGCAACAGTGATACTCATCAGTCACTGTGGTGACAGAAACCTGCAGCGCTTACTGTGATTTATTAGAACAGGTTTATATAACTCTGACTCACGCGCTTTGAGAGTGGAGGAGAAATCAATGTCTCGTCATCTCCACACACAGACTCACATAAACACACTGTGCCATCAGCCCACCTGCCTTTACTAATGTCTTGTTGGAAATGTCAATTTGAACTTGACTATTGTGTCCCCTTCACTGAAGTCTTGATTGTAAATAACTGTTCGCTAAACTGAACCCTTCCTCTGAAGCACGAGGATCTAACAAGAACAAAACTCTTCATCTAAAGAGCTTGGAGGCCTTTCTGAAAGCAAAAACACAGGAGCAAAAGTGTGAGGAATTGCCCCAACGTAAGCCGCAAACATTCGCTTGTCTGGCTAACTGGCTCACTACCTACAGCAGCAACTTAGCCTGGGATCCAAAGGCAAGGGACTGTTGGCACTGCTGTGGGGTTAGAGGATTCATTAGAAAAATACCTGCTCAGGACTGGAATAGTCACCATGTGGGAGCTAAGATGGTGGTGTATTAAATTTAAAGTAGCGGCTCTGTCCTGCTCTTTATTCTCTACTCGCACAATGTAGTGTGACTGTAGTAGTGTCTGTTCATGTACATATTGTTAATAGCATTTACTGTTTGTTTTTGTATGTAGTGTTGATCATTCTGAGCTAGCTAGAGTTGATCATATATGCTAGCGACAGTCGTCATTTCACATCCAGGGTCGTTGGCCAGACAAATGTGTTTATTCTGTGTGAAATCAACACCAGATGTTTCAAAAAGTACTAGTTCTAATTACTACGACGGAGTATTTTTTGGGGAAATTACGAGAATAAAGTCATAATATTACAAGAATAAAGTCGTAATAATACGAGAATAATGTTGTTTTAATGAGAAAAAAGCTTCGATAGAGTTATCAAGATCTGAGTGAGCAGCTCAACCAAACAGCAGCCTCAGCCTGAGCCCAGCAGCCGCTGTTTGTCTCAGTTGTACCGTACAGTCAACAGGTAAACTAACGTATTGATAATTTCGTCGTTAAACAGTTTTGCTGGCTAACAGGCTGACAGTACTCATAAAATTACTACTTTATTCTCGTAATATTATGACTTTATTCTCGCAATATTATGACTTTATTCTTGTAATATTATGACTTTAGTCTCGTAATGTTACGACATATTCTCGTAGACCTAATATTATGACTTTATTCTCGTAATATTACTACTTTATTCTCGTAATGTTACGACTTTATTCTCGTAGACCTAATATTATGACTTTATTCTCGTAATATTATGACTTTATTCTCGTAATATTACTACTTTATTCTCGTAATGTTACGACTTTATTCTCGTAGACCTAATATTATGACTTTATTCTCGTAATATTATGACTTTATTCTCGTAATGTTACGACTTTATTCTCATAGACATAATATTATGACTTTATTCTCGTAATATTATGACTTTATTCTCGTAATGTTAAGACTTTATTCTCGTAGACCTAATATTATGACTTTATTCTCATAATCCCTCCCCCCAAATTGTTTTTTTCTCATAGTATGGCCCTAATACTCCGACTGTTGAGTGGTAAAACTGCCAGCGTTAACATTTTAAACTCCTTATATGCAGTGCGAGAATGGAAAGCTAACTGATGATGATTTCAAATAATTCCTATCATCTATAGCTCCTACATCATGATGTTCAGATAGATTTGGCCTTTCAGTGTTCTTGTATGTTTAGATCTTTCATGCTGATCTAAGTCATTCTGTTTCATTTCCAGCTTCTCTCATTGGCATGCATCCACCTCCTCTCTGAGCCCTCCTCCCATACTCCCTGCTGAACTTCATTTTCACCATGAAAAGACATCATGTCCTGCTTTAATGCCCGTTTCTGCTCCCAGCGTGCCCACTAACACCTCTCGTTGTGACTGACTAATATCTGCTTCAAGCTGTGGTTGTAGTAGTTGCTGTCGTTGGTCTTGTTGATTGACATGTTGCTGCTGTTGTTGTTGTTGTGCTTCTCCTTGCAGACGGTCTGGTTGGATCTGCACCAGAGGCTAACAGACACAGATGGCACTGCCAGCGCAGTAAGTAGACACTAAATGAATAACCGTTGTACATTACACAGCAACACACGGCCCCAGGTGCAGCATTACTTACTGTTGCTTACAAAGGCCAACAACCACTGTAGCAGTATACCTCAGGACGAGTGTTACAAGGCTGGGACATGGCTTTGTGATGTAATTAACATGGGACGGCACTTCTGCACGACCAGCGCCGTCCAAAAATAATCCAGGTCTCAGTGCCGGTCCCACAGGCGCCGCCCTTTTGAATTATTTCCCAGGAAACACGCTTGTTTTGTTTTGTTGACTAGACCTGAATAATTTATAGAAGCCGATGGAAGAATTAATAGTGACACACACTATCTTACAATATCTAACACCCAGAGAAAATAACATATCAACTGTCCCAAAAACATACAGCATATACAGGATTGGGTGATATTCTCTGTGATAATGATCAATGATTCATGTGAAAAGCCACAAGCACTGCGTGGGCTTTTTCTTTTCAGGCTGTATTTGGATTGAATCATAAATCAGAAAATATTCTGTCACAGAAGCTCAACTGTTTGACACTATTTTCAGACAGAATTTTACCCAAGACTGCTATTAGATACAGCACTTGTATGCCTACAGTGAAGTAGAGATAAGAGAGTGCAATAAATACAGTCAAAAGCTATCTTACAGGTCTGAATGCCTGCAAAAAGCCATAAGCATTTCAATTCAATTCAATTCAATTCAATTTTATTTGTATAGCGTCAATTCATAACAGAAGTTATCTCAGGACACTTTTCAAATAGAGCAGGTCTAGACCGAACTCTTTAAAACATTAATTACAGAGACCCAACAGTACCACCATGAGCAAGACCTTGGCGACAAGGGCAAGGAAAAACTGCCTGTTAAAAGGCAGAAACCTAGGACATATCCTTCGGCTCTAGGTGGGTGGTCGTCTGTCTCGACCAGTTGGGGTGAGAGAGAGAGAGAGAGAGAGAGAGAGAGAGAGACAGACAGACAGACAGACAGGTGCACAGCAACAACAGTATTGGCAATGGCAATCTAGCAGGACCATGGCAGGAGGCTCCACCAGGATCGACAAAAACCTGCGAGACGAGAAAGCACAAGAACTCCGGGGAAGAAGTGAAGTTAGTAACATGCATTAATGGAACATGAATGAGTGCAGAAAGAGAGAGGAAGGGAGGAGCTCAGTGCACCATGGGAAATCCCCCGATAGTCTAGGCCTATAGCAACTAAGGGATGGTTCAGGACTCACCTGATCCAGCCCTAACTATAAGCTTTATCAAAGAGGAATGTCTTAAGCCTACTCTTGAATGTGGTGAGGGTGTCTGCCTCCTGAACCACAACTGGAAGCTGGTTCCACAGGAGAGGAGCTTGGTAACTGAAGGCTCTGGCTCCTGTTCTACTTTTAGAGACTATAGGAACCACAAGTAGCCCAGTATTCAGAGAACGTAATGTTCTAGTGGGGTAATAGGGTACTATGAGCTCTTTAAGATATGAAGGGGCCTGACCATGAAGAGCTTTATAGGTGAGGAGGAGGATTTTAAATTCTATTCTACATTTTACAGGGAGCCAATGTAGAGAAGCTAGTACAGGAGAGATGTGATCTCTTGTTCTAGTTCCTGTCAGTACTCGTGCTGCAGCGTTCTGAATTAATTGGAGTGTTTTAATGGACTTATTGGGGCAACCTGATAATAAAGAGTTGCAGTAATCCAGCCTTGAAGTTACAAATGCATGGAGTAGTTTTTCTGCATCTGTCTGTGATAGTATGTGTCTAATTTTTGTAATATTACGTAAATTAAAGAAGGCAGTCCTAGAGGTCTGCTTTATGTGGGAGTTAAATGACAAATCCTGATCAAAGATAACTCCAAGATTCCAGACAGTGGTGCTAGAGGCCAAGTTAATGCCATCTAGAGTAACTATATCTTTAGACAGTGAGTCTCTAAGGTTTTTGGGGCCAAGAACAAGAATTTCGTTTTTTTCTGAGTTTAACATCAGAAAATTGCAGGTCATCCAGGATTTTATGTCCTTAAGACATGTTTGTAATTTAGATAATTGATTAATTTCATCGGGCTTGATTGATAGATATAACTGCGTATCATCTGCATAATAGTGAAAGTTAATGGAGTGATTCCTAATAATGTTGCCTAAAGGGAGCATATATAAAGTAAATAGTATTGGTCCAAGTACAGAACCTTGTGGAACTCCATGACTAACTGTAGTATTTATTGAAGATTCATCGTTAACATGTACAACTGCGAGCGATATGATAAATATGACTTAAACCAGCTTGGTGCGGTTCCTTTAATGCCAATTTGATGCTCAAGTCTCTGTAAAAGAATATAAGCAATCTGTGTCTTGGAGAAAAAGAGATCTATTGTATTCATATGTTTCCTTTTCTAAAAGAATATACATGATTAAGAACGTGCCTGCACTAAAAACAGCTGTCAGTCATACTGTATATGTCAGAGAGCGGGTCACTACATTGATTTTTGCTTATGAAACAAGCTGCTGGATTACTGGCACCAGTATAAAGTCACAGTACATTTACTCCATAACAAGTGACAAATGGGTCTTGTAAACCTGTATTCAATGTGCTTTCTTTATACATGAACGACAATCACTACATCAGCCAGATGCATAAAACTCTGTTTAGATTCACTACCAGAACTCTGTGTAGGATTTTAAAGCTGTGTAAGCGTGGTTTTGATTTATAAACCTCAGTCATTGTAGAACTGCGCACACATACCACTCCCACTGCTATAAATGGAAAACACCTAGACCAGAAAGGATGGCAAAGAAGTGCAGTTTTACCCATTGTGCCACCTCAGCGAGGCTGTCATTTCAGGCGACCATTACTCTCGGCTATGCCCAGTTATAGCACACACATCATTAATTCATCGCATGTAGGCTGCCTGTGATCTGAACGTCAGAAAGATGATACAAAGTGCTTCTGGATAAAGAATGTAACAAATTAAATTAACCTGTGTCTTAACCAAATGCCAGTGCAATCCTCCAATATTCATATCATATCATATCCAATATTCACAAGATATTTCACTAGAAAAACAAAAAAATGTCAACCTCACAGTGGCATGTCAAGTTAAGCATCACCAAAGTCAGTTGATTTCTGCCTCTGGAAACCATGGATATTATAAAATTTCATGGCAACCATCCAATAGTTGTTGGGATATTTTAGTTTGGACCAAAGTGACTGTTGGGATATTTTAGTTTGGACCAAAGTGACTGACCAACTGACCAAGATTGCCATCCGTAGAGCCATGTGAGCCGTAGTGCAGCTAAAAAACCCACTCGATCAATGAAATACATATACAAATACACTTTCCTCTTCAGTCTGCAGGAGACTAGTGTAATAATCACCTATTCCACTTTTATCCACAGCAGTTGAGCCACTTATGGCTTGGCCATTAGCATCTGGCACGCAGTGAGAGCCCTGTCTAAATTGTCTAGTTGTCATGGGCACAGATGCAGAAAGGTTATTATAAGAGACTGCTCACATGTACTGAGAGAGAGAAGAAACACCTAACAATGAACGCTTATAAAGACAAGAAGACGAGGAACAGGAAAAAGAAAGAGGACATTTTAATTGAGGAACCAGTAGAAATAATGAACTTTAAACAAGGAAGACTTAGTTACTCTGGGCACAGTCTTAAAGAAAAACATCCCCCTAAAACACTTTGAGGTAGCTTTCAACAATTACCTTGCTTTGCAGGGTCAATTTGGTTGTTTGGTGGTCTGCTTTACAAAAACAGAGTAAACAGGGGCCGGCTGGGGATTTTTCCCTTTGAATCATTTTTTGTACATTCACACAGACTGGGAAAACTCTCTGCTTTAGTTCCCATGGTAATGTAGCAGCAGCACTTCCTCAGAAGTTTATTGCAGTGTTTGTTACACTTTTTACACCAAGTACCACCATTATGACCAACTTAAATACAAAATACAGTAGCGTAGGCCGACCACATTAACTACAGACAGTCCACAAAGGAGGCAGGTTTATTCCTAATAACAATAATTTTTATTGTCAATTACTGAACACAAGAACCAGAGCTAATTCAGTGGCAGAAGCATAATCCTGGTCCACTCTTCTCTTCCCAATAGTTTAGAGCTACGATTGCCATCTTTTTGAACCAATCATTTAACCTCTGCTTACTGTCTTGCCATCACATTTTAGCTCATAACTAGGGTGAAACTCTTCTCGTTGACTTACAGTTTACTCGAGTATTAGGGGGCAGCCCTAGAATCATACATCAATAGCAGCCTAATTTTATGCATGGCCCATGATGATGAAGATACAGAAAAATAGAAATGCATGGTAAAAATAGCAGATGGTCAATATTTTAGTTTTGTTAGGGGAGCTAATGTCTTATGAATCGCTCCCCTGTATTTTGTAACCTGGCCTCTACTCAAAAAAAAATCTTATTCCCTTTTTTTATTTTTTTCAAAAGAAGCAGAAAAACTCTCAAAGTAACATGAACACAAGACTACACTAAAGCCATATGTATGAAATATCAACCACCACAAGGTTAATGTCCTACTGAGAGAGTGGAATCGCAGTAGGTTTAGTAAGCACAAAGCCATAGCTCGCTTTCTGCTCATTGTTTGGTTTCTAGGATGGTTGGTTGTTGTGTTCATTTATTGTCTTATGCTACCTCAGTTTTTCCTTTCAGATAAGTAATTTGTTTTTTGATCCCTGCCACAACCTTCTATTACACCAGCACAATCTGCCTGTTAGAGGCAGAAAACATTTCCACAAACGCTGGCCCTCATAAATTGTGTACACCTTAATAAATCCAGTAAAATGCACAAGCAGCCAGATATATCATATTTCCTCCTGTTATTTGCATCTTCACTTAAAAAGAGCCACACTTCACTGATTACTCTCAAACTGCGCTTCCAGGCTGCTGTGCCTGTTTGATGAATAAATCACACATTTGTAAGCACAGTATGCTTCAGAAACCAAGTGAAAAGGGTCAAATAAATCTGCTCTTGTA